GGGAAAGAATAAATATACATTTAGTCACAGAACAGCTATTCTGAAACACATCGTAACATAACCCTCCTCTTCATATTGAGGTTATGGAACAAATTTCTGCCCAAAGACAATTTCTTCATATTTCCTATAATATTTTTAGTTAGCATTCAGCTGGGAAGAGTGAGTGACGAGGCATAAAATGGATGTTCCCCACTCTCTGCAATCATTAAGTTATTTGAACAGCTGTTGCCTTTGTTTTGCATTTTGCTTGATGATAAACCGTAGATCTATACCAAGAGGAAACCTCTAAGAACACCTGAAAGTAAATACGTTTCCAGGGAAATGGAGTTTGGAGCATCCAATCCTGATGTCACATGGGGGAAGAACAAGCTCAACTTAAAAATCCTGACTTCTCACCAAAGCTTTCACCTCAGAGTTTGGGATGAACAAGCTTTTGTGTGTTCCCACAAATTCATTTGTACAAACTTCAAGGAAAACAGTTTCAACACTAAGTTAGCCCACGCATGCACTACTTTTGTAGTGTAAGTAGGAGTATATCCTCAAGCAGACCTAGGTCTTACTGTATTTTCATGTCCAAACAGTTTTAGGCACACTTCAGCCTATTTCATCACAACTCAAGCCTTCCACAGTATCTGCATTTAATTCTTTGAACAGAGGGAAAATTTGCACAATACCACCTTCCCATGGAAGGGATAAGGAGATTAAAAGCAGCTCTTCTGTCTGATTATCAGAGCACTGTAGCTGAGAAATTAACAACTACCCACAGGATTCTTAGCCTTCACAGGCACTCTGTATTTAATTCCCGCTTGGCTGACACATCTTCACACACCCATGTATCTACACAACAGAATAGTGAATGCACAAACACTATATAAACACCTGTTGCATGCAGAAGACAAGTCCGATCACGTACATCACCTTTATCGACATAATGGGTACAGTGAGCACAAGTAACAATATATTCCCCCATGAAACGTTATGACTGCCAGGCTCAGATGAACAGTAACTTGGACACTTCCAGGTCAACAAGACCCTCAGGTATCATATTTTTAGATACGGAAAACCATTACCACTGACTGCAGCACTGCTTTATGAAGGTAAAGAGTCAAATAGAAAAGATTTCTGGCTATCGTCCTGCCAGGTTAGAAGACTGTTCAGCAGGACCACTGTGTCTATATTGAGGTCCAGGTATAAGCACCTACTTACTAGAAATTTATGGGTTCCAGGAAAGTCTCTGTTCTCTGCTCTGGAAACAACCAATTTCAGCTATAGTCAGTCTACCATTTAAGCATCATGCCACAGTACCGCATTTGCACTGAAGACAACCACTGATGCTGAAAGACCCTGAAGTAATGTCAGCCAACCACAAGTGACAGTCCCATCTCCAGCAGAACTACAATCACTCTTCCTATCACTAGGAGAATTTGAGAAAAACACTATCTACAGCCGTTTTCTGGAAAGCAACAAAAAGCATAAAGCAGTCAATACTTACATGCATAGAACTTCAACACCCTATAACATCAACAAGGTACCTAATTTAAAAATGAATTTTAAGTCTTTGTTGTTTTGTTACTTGCAAAAAAAAAAAAAACAGCTGACAAATCCATGACAATGGTGTTCACCTGCATGCTAAGATACAGTTCTGATTAATACATATTCTTCATCTGACTATGACATGTTCTGCTAGACTATCCTGTAAGTGAAGAAATTCACGCCAGTGAGTTCTCTTTAAGACCAAACCATGCCTTCATCTAATGCCCGAAAGCTGAATGCTGTTGGCCAACTAGTAGCCTAGGAGAATTTCTCAACTGGCATCTGATCATAGCTATGACAGTATAACAAGAAGCAGATGAGGCAAATGAGTTTGTGTAACTATAGAGAAGATGCTGCAGCTGCTAATTAGGTAAAACAGACCAAGGAGAATGCCCTACAACTAATTACATCAAACTTGAACCATTTTTAATTAAGAAAAGCTCTGTTCAAGCCTCTAGCAGGAGCCCTGCACTTGAGGCCCAAATACACCAAGTACAGACATGAGGTTAGGAAAAGCTACAGCTCTAGTTACTGCTTACCTGGCACCGAAAAGCTTCGAGACTGAATAGTGAGTCAGGGCAAGACTTGCTTTCATGTGCAAGTAATCTTACGAGCAGTAACGCTGATCAATCACAGCTCATGCTGTGCACTGCGCTCTATCATCTCTATAATGAGTTCTACCATCTCTATGCATCTAGATCCATTTTTGTTAAGACACAATAGTGATAAGCTATTATTAACAGTTTATCCTGAAAGGGGTTCTCAGATGTTCTGAAGTACCTCAAGGGTGTCTTAAAGACATAACAACACACCCTTAAGGCTCACATACAAGCTCAGTAAGTTTGTATTAACACTACAGAAACAGCATGCTTCTGCAGATCAGGTCAAGTAGCATTATAGACTATTTGGCTCATTCATCACAGTCAAAAAATAGCTGTGGAGAACAGAGAGAAACAGTGTGAATATGCTTCAAATTCTGAATACTGAGCAAGAGCAGTTTTGCTCCAAATTATGAAAACTTAGTTAAACATTAGCAATTATTACACCAAATCAGATCAGAAAGAATCTGCTCCAGTAGCTCGTTTTTTTACCAGGCATTTCAATGGACAGTACAAAGCCTCTCAACACATGGGTACAGAATGGACTTACCTTAACAACATTTCTGGATTCCTACAGAGAAACCTTGCTAAAAATTTCTTTAAGAAATACCCTTAATGCAGTTTAAATGTCAAATCTTGCAACATGCAATTGTTTCCTGTTACAGCAAGTTCCAACAGCCCACTTCTGTAACAAAGTGGTGATGTATAATGCAACTATAAACAGTGAAATTGAAGTATCATAGAAGAATCATAGAATTGTTTAGGCTGGAAAAGATCTATAAGATCATCAAGTCCAACACCTACCCCAGGACTGCCAAGTCCACCACTAAACCACGCCACTAAGGACCTTGCCTACGTGGTTTTTGAGCACTTCCAGGGAAAGCATATTTTAAGCTACACAGATCATCTAATATTTATCCCTTCAGCTAGTGGAATATTTTACTTGTTTTGACCAGTGTTCCAGTTCTCAGCTCAATTCTTGCAGCAGTTATTTGAGATGTTATTTGAGTACCATGAGCTCTGAAGCACTATGATTAAAAGCTACTCACCTCAAACTTCCAATCTGTTAGTATCTCAAATTTTAAATTCAAGAAACAGTTATCAAACTGCAAGTCACTTATACACCATTGCTGAAGTTCCAGCTTAAAGTTTAATTCAGTTGAAGTTATGTTAGTGTCCAGATTAAAAAATCTGCACACTAGATGATTAAGAAAAGTCTGTCTTACATTAGGCACATGAACTTTTGGATAATCCTTTGTTTACATATCAATGAGACTAGGAACAACTTGAAAGCTATTTTCTGTCACACTTGTGTGGCTAAAAATCCTGTAGTGCAGAGGTACCTTACAGTAGCAGCGTATACCATAGACAGGATTCAGATACTTGTGAATTCTCTCTGAAAAGACCCTGCTGCTCTATGAGTGTACTAACTTCACTGACGCACCATGTCATTGTGGCTGCCCATGAAGAATACTGCATCTTAAATTCCTTATCCAAATCATATTAATGTTTATTGCTAAGTGAGTATGCTTTGTTACCAAAGACAGTAATTCAAAACCATAACCCATGAAACAAAGGTTAGATAAATTTGCCATTATTAGAAGTTTGAAAGCCTCACCAGCCTCTGCAGTTGGCATGGAAAAAGGACAAGCTCTAAACAGATGTCTACATATAGAGATGTTTACTAAAGTATGAAGAGAGTATAGAGTACAATTCTACGAATGCTACCAGAACATACTGTGTTGACCAAGCTAGAAGAAGCCATAACATGTTTCTTGAAGTGTTCTTTAAACAACACTCAACATATAAACCCATGTTAATCCCCTGCACCACCCAAACAGCAGCCCTGAACACTAAATACGCTTCAAAAAGGACTCTAGAAATAGTCCTTCATAGCTGAAAGTATTTAGTAATTAGTAATGTAGTATTTAGTAATCCCTTCTATTTGAAGGAAATCTATAATCTGTGTTCTACGTATATTAAAAAATTAAGGCTACTTTGAAGCGACAGTCTGCAGTGGCCATGCACTGACAATCAAATGTGAACAGCAGAGCTCAAGAGTTGCATAATTACTATTGCCCAGGTGCTCCGAACCTCACATACCTTAGGCCCTTAACCAAGCCTCTCCCGTTACTGAACTTGCATTTAATACTTGCTTTACCAACCTATGGGAAATGTGGTTTAATATTAAGAAAATTAAATCTTAAAATATTTAAGCAAACGCAGACCTCAAGAGTCAAAGCTCCGGCTATCATACATCCTGTGTCATTCAATTTAATTTATACATCTGCTTGAACACTATGCCTTCAGATATTAAGCATTAGCTGTACTAGCATTTGACCTTCAACAACACACTAAAGCTGGTTGCTGCAATATAGGAAAAGGCTTGCAAAGTGATTATCTCAGGAAAGCCTTCGTTTAATCTAATTAGTTCAATGAAGACTAGACAGATCTGCATACCAAGAGGCTGCAGTGATAAAAACTGTCCCCATATGTTTCAGCTGCCATGCTATTTTAATCTGTTTCAAAACAGCTTTCAAGACACTGAAAAATATACCTTTGTATACTTCAGTTTGAAAGCCACAGCACTCTATGTTCCACTTCTTCAAGCCATCATATCACATGTTTCCTTGTGGGGAGAGAGGGAAGTTGTCTGTAATATTATTATGGAAATAACTGTAACTGAGAAAGTGACCTGGAAATCACACTGAAAAAGTCTGAGGTCTTCTGCTCTAGAGGGTCAGTTTTCCGACTTCAGAGACAAACCTTCATACCTACATGAAAGACTACAGAAACTCAACAGCCGTTTCACAAGAAATATGAATGAATGCTAAAAA